CCCTTCTATTATTATAAATATATCGCTCATCTGACTGGGTTCTCCCAGCCACTCTGGGTGTTATCAAACATTAAAAAGTTCCCTGAACAGGGCTGCCTTCAGATGTCTTCTAAAAGTCAGATAGTTGTTTATTTCCTTGACATCTGACAGGAGGGTGTTTCACAGGGTCGGCGCAACTACTGAGAATGAAGAGGAAGAGGAATGAAAGAAAATTATGAGACTGAGGGAAAAAAGAGAAAGAAAGGGACAGCTGAAAAGAGAAAATGCTAGTGGGCAATAGTTGAAAGAGAAAGGAGCAGATAGCAACAGTGTCTCAGTTTAATAATAATTTGAGATTTTTCATACAAGATAATATTGTACCGTTTCAGTAATATTTCATTTAGAGAGCTTTGCAGAGCTCTGCAGGCAATGCTTAGAAATGTTTTGCAAGTGTAGCTCTTACCGTTTGCCCTGCGCTTTTCTGGTCTGTTTCTGAGCTCATTTCTTCTTCCCTGGCGCTTGCCCCTGGAAAACCTGATCTTTGCCACTCAATCGGAGCAAATAGCAATTTGGGTTTCCCCTGGAATGCCGTTTGCTCCGATTCAGCTGTCAATAATGGGATTTTGCTGGGCGAAAGAGAAGTGTGTTTGTAGTAGCTGTTAGTGCTTACTGTCAACTATCCTTCAGTGTATAGTAGGAATAGTTATTCAAGAATGTCGGGAGATTAAATTATTCTACTCCCTTCAGAGCAGCAAAAGTTCCTTACAATTCCCAAACTCACTACTTTCCTATGCCTTTTTAAATGGTTCAGCACTTTTGAAATAAACAGTTATTCTGGAATCTGGATATTATGGCATACTGAGGGAGGGATTTCAATTTCTATATCCCCTTAGCCCCCTCCCCCGTTGAAGTGTTTCTTACGATTAACAACCGCAGGAGGGAGGAGAGCTGGGCTACGCTATCTGGCTGCACCTGCTGCCGGGTATCTCCTGCTTGCCTCATTCCTTAGCTGTCCACACACTGGTGGAATATCTGCCGTGGGGAAGACTTCTAAGTGCCCTCAGGCTCTCCTTCTTGTCTAGAAACTTGTACAGTCAGGATCCAGATCACCCAGAGAGTCTATGCAAGTTGAGCAGGCTTCCTTGTTGCTGACATTCCCCCAGCATGTAGCCCCCAGGGACATGGCAGCTAGCCTGAACCTACCCATTCATGTGATTTCTATTTGTATGAGGAAGAACATGTCAGAGGAAATGAAGACTCTGGAGCTCTCAAGAACTTTTATGGGTCATGCAGCAAGGACAGATGCACTTGCCTTCTCTTAAAATGCTTTTACTAGTTCCTGCAGACAGTTAATTTGTAAACATTACAGGACCAAAGGACATACAAATTTCATTCTGAATGGAAATGTGATTGCTTTTATTTCCAGTGAAACTTGCACAGGCCAATCCATTTTAAAGCTGAAAGCTATCCTGGAAAGCCGAAAGATAAATGTCTCTTGTGAAGATAATTACAGGTAATTTTGTGTACTGGGTTATCAACATGTTTTTAAACAGCGAAGGCAAAATTAGATGTATGGAGGGGCATAAATCACACATACCCATTCACTTGGATATAAGGGGAGGGTGTGGAGTCTACCCAAAAAATTGGAGTGGTGAGCCTTTCTGCCCTTTACCCTAGTTGTTCCGGGGGGGGGGGCGGGTGAGGTTTTTTCATCCTTTGCAGAAGGGAAGGGATCAAGGAAGACAGAAAACTGCTGGAAAGAAAGACTCCGAATGGAGCAGAAGTCTGTGCCTGATGCCACTTCCACATGCTAGTTTGACCTTAAATCTGACTGACTTGAATGGTCAAAACAGCTGCCCCAATGATCTGTAAACATTGCTGAATGTTTCCAAAAGAATGTGAGTAGTGTGGGTATCTCCTTTTCAATATGAATTTGAAGGAGAGCCTTAGCTTGTATGGACAACATTTTATTTTTGCAGTTTAAGTACTATCCATTTAACTAAGTCCTTAAAGGCTCATTTTCTTAAACCGCAGCACCCCACCGTGTCACGTGGGAAACAGTTGCTAGAACCAAATGGAGTTTCAAAAGCAGTTTGATGTGGGATTGGTTTAAAAAAATGCCCCTGGATTAACACAAGTCCTTTGCGTGCTCAGCTTGAATTATTTTACTCAGCAATTCAAAGTATGGCCTTTGTGCAAATAAGAATCTAGAGATGGAATAGTGTCATAACTGCTTAATTTCTTAAAGGAGACGTTTCAGTAGGGCGTTTCAGTTCAGAAAAGCTTTGATTCCTCTGTAAGAGCTGAGTGTTAGCTCTTGGTGCTTCTGCAGCCCAGCCTGTTTTTTGCTGAAGTAGCGGCACCAAAGTGACCTCCCCGGAGTGCAAGCCGGGGCAGTGTTGATGGAGGTTCTGAGCTGCCGTGAGGACCAGACCTCCCTCTCATCCTTGCTGATGTGGCCCAAAGGAAAGCAGAGCAGCACGTTTGGCCCAACCTGTGCAGATAGTTAACTTTCCAGCCTGATAGGGCAATGAAAGCTTTCTGAAACTGTGGTTCACAGTTTATTCCAGGGGTCGGCAAAGCTGCAAAGCCTTGGGCCGGTAAACTGCCCCCGAAACCTTGGGGCAGGCCGGAGTAGGCGCATGGGTGCGGGCGGGCGCACATGCGCACATCCAGGTTTCCTTGTTGCCAGAGGTGGCGGTGGAGGAGGTGTCCGCAGCTTCCTATTGTTGCAGGAGCTTCCTGCAGCCAATAGGAAGCCATGGCTGTGCCACACTGCACCAGTTTAGCTCCGTGCGGGGACTGGCTGAGTGGGCAGGCCTAGTTAAATGACCACCCCCAGGGCAGATGTGGCCCAGGGGCCATAGTTTGCCAACCCCTGGTTTATTCTGTTATATGACACAATGGAATAGCCCTCATGTTGTGAAGACAGAAAGACAGGGATATCTGAGATTATTTAAGTAATTATTTTATTAAATGGCACTAAATGCAAATGAAGTTGCTAGTGTATTTCTTATGTCTTGTAACAGGCCAGTTCGGTTGCTTCAGTGTACCAGTAATCCTGGCCACGCCAGCTGCGATGTCTGTTCCTGAAAACATGGTAGGTACCCTATGCTGCTTATATTGTTGTTCAACTTTGTATAGTATGGAATGGCGTTTCTAGAGGGAGTCAGATATAAAAGCTCAACTAGCTATCATTGTGAAAGACCTGTGTAGTTTAAACCCAGGCCTGCTACAAACTAGATTCAGACTAATTTAAATTCCACTTTCAAAGGGTCTACTTTAAGCATGAAAATCTTTGGGTCCAGTTCATAGAGAGAAGGGGCTGGAAGGGAAGAATGGAAAACTCTTCTCCAACTGTTTGTCATCCAAGATAATGGAAAGATTTGATAGGCTGTTTTTATTTATGTAGTGCATTTATCTTCTGCTCTTCTTCCAAGGATCTCCAAGTGACAAACATGTTCTTCCCCCTGCCATTTACTTTCACACAAAAACTGTGAGGTAAAGCTTAGACTGAGAGATACCTACTGGCCCAATATTGCCTAGGGAGCTAAGTGGGGATTTGAACATGAGTCCAGATCAACACTCCAACCTCTGCAACAAAAGTGGGGAACCTCTATCCTGTGGGTCAGATTTGGTAAGGTAGAACTCTCCATTTTAACTGCAAGGCTGTATTCTCCAAACCACACCCACCTACCCCACATCTGACATAATATGTGGTGTTGGGTGTAGGGGTAGATGCCACGCCCGGGGCTGGAAAGAAGTCCCTATGCATCAGTTCCTTGCTTCACCCACTTGTCCGTCACCTGGCATCATTATGGAGAGATCAAGATTTGGCCTGCCAGGCCAAAACTGTTGCCCAATCCTGCACTACACCACATTAGCTCTTGTTTCAGCTACTGATGAGGATAAACAAAGGGCCCATTACAGCCCCTGTAGCTAATGCTAAGCTTTCCCTTGTGCTCATTACTGCAGAGGACCTCAGCATCGGAGGAAGACAAAGAAGAAAAAATCCACACACTTGAAGCAAGACCCAAAAATGTCACAGCAAATGATTTCTAGACAAAAAGGAGCAAGAAGTTCTCTACAACTACAAGACTCTCCTGAAGCTGGCATCACTTGGTCAATCTTCCAAGTACAAACTCTTCAGGACAAGTTCAAGAGGGGTTTTAATTGAACTTGCAATGGGATATGGCATCATGCCTTGAAGGACTGTTTTGAAGGAAAAAAATGTTATTGCACTGAATAGGAGGTTTTATTCCTTTACATATGGGAAACCGTTGGGGTTATTTAATAAAGGCAAAATCCAAATGCAGTACACATCAGATTAGTCTACCTGCTCTTGAAGGGTTTGATTTTATCCTTTCTTCTTTACATTTGATACGTTTCATAATTTTTGCAAGAAGCGGGCACACTAGGACCTTGCTAAGTACCATATTTTTCGCTCCATAGGGCGCACCGGACCATAGGGCGCACCTAGTTTTTAGGGGGGGGGAATAAAGAAAAAAAATTATCCCCCCCAGCCCCAAAGAGCAAAGAAGCCAAGACAGTGAGCGGGATCCATCCCGCTGGCTGTCTTGGCTTCCTCTTTAGCCACGCGCAACCTCTCCAGACGGGAGATGCTGTGCGCGGCTTTGGCAGAAGCCAAATCCCGCTTGCTGTCTTGGCTTTGTTTTTAGCCGCGGGGCTGGGGCGGGGGAAGCCCGAGCCTCCCTCAACCCCAGCCCCCAGAACAGGTCCAGGAGCAGCGGCAAGATTGTGCGCAACCTCGCCGACGCTCCCGGAGCTTGTGGGGTTGGGGAAGCCCAAGCTTCCCCCGACCCCAGCCCCCAGAACAGGCTGCTATCCGCAAGCCTTCGGAGCCCGAAGGCTTGTGGATAGTGCCTGAAGCCCGGGGAGCGCAGCGGGAGTTGGCGCTGCGCTCCCCGGGCTTCAGGCTGCAGCTCCGAATCTCTATAGGAAAGAACCCAGAGGAAGTCACATGGGTGTAGGAAATTTTAATGTTTTGTATGTTTAAGTAAGTTGTTCTTCAACGTTTCTATTATTTTTTCTTGGTATGTAGCTTTAGTGTGTTTTTGTTTGTTTGTATGGAAATAAATGTTTTTTTAAAAAAAGAAAAGAAAAAGAAATTTAACAAAAAACAGCCAAAACCAATAGGGACTCAGACATCTTGTTTTAATAATAGCACTTTGGGGGGGGGGGAATAAAACAAGTCTGTTTCTACAATACAAAAGGAAAAGGGAAAGTTTAAACAGTAGTACCCAGTTGCATCAAAGGTGTGTGAAATAATCCCTGATAACGGAATCTAGAAGCAAACTTATCCCCTCAGAAGCCTCCCATTTGGGCACCTCAAGGGAGACGTGAAAGAGCCCCAGAGGGCTGCCAGGGGGCTTCTCCACCACCTCAGGCGGCTTTCGGGGAGCAAGTGTCAAGTGGGTGGGGTGACGGGTATGGGGCCTTCAGCCACGAATTCACCCCCAAGCGGCCTCTGGCCCCTCAGGCCTGGAGGTCAGGCATTGGCATGCTCCGAGAAGCTTCCAGAGACCGGAAGCAGCCTGACCCTTTTGTGCCTGACCCAAGAGTCCGTTCCTTCTCCCGGGGATGGCGGACCCCCCACTGGAGAAAGGCACCCTCTAGGCAGAAGAACGGTCAGAGAGGAGCAAGGCTGGCACAGCAACTTCTCAAGCTGTGGGTGCCAAAAGGCAGGCTACCAGGGAGGGAAAGGAGGGCCCTTGGGCGAGTGGAAAAGATGGGGCTGAAGTCCTTGCAGCCAGATGCAGATTGGAAGACAGGAAGCCCCCCTATGGCGGAGCCAGACCCTGTCGTTCTCTTTCCTCTCTCTACCTGGGGATACTGGGGACTGAGCTGCAGAGCATGCCACGGAAAAGCAGCCCTCCCCTTGAAAGTAAGATTTCAGTCCACTTCCTTCTGAATAAAGGGCTGAGATAAGCAGGGAGCTCAGAAGCGGCTTTACACCAAATCAGACATTTGGGTTAGCTAGCTCTGTATTGTTAAACGAGTGGTTTGGCTTGGCATAAGGCGGCTTCCAATCTAAGAAACTCTGGTTAAGTGCCTTTTGGCAGTTTGGTCCCTCTGGGAAAAGATCGCACAGCAAGTGGGAGATGAACCCAGCCCCAACCACTGGCCACAGAAGGAGCAACTGGGGGTGTTGCAAACCAGAAAATGGCTTATCTCCTGAGTTTACGCCAATAAAACTCAGACGAGGGGAGTTAGGACTCCATCATTGTTTATTGCAAAGCAATAGGTTTCAGTTGGATCGTTCCGCAAAGGTTTTAACCCAGCCTGGGGTCCAGGCACGGGTATTTATAAATTTTAAAGAAAGCATTTCAATTTCCAGCAATCATATACATCATTACCTCATTTCATGTTTAATACACATGTGCAATAAGCGTTAGCAATTTCTGCTGATTCAGTTCTGCTTCCCACCGCTGTCTGTTAAAGTTTTGATTTCTCTTACATTGTGTTAGTATGCATTTTGGGGACCTGTTTTACGCGTAGTCATTTGCGTTAAGTTGTGGGCAAACATATCAGACGACACAGTGATTCTTCAAACAGCTCTTGTTTATTCAAAAGCCAGAACAGAACTGAACTGAAGAGCTCAGTCAGCCTGCTTATATAGAGCTCCAGAACCACGTAACTGTAGCAACTTTCTAAAACTATCCAATCACAGAATGTCACTTTCGATCCTTCATTTGCATAACTATCTACAGTATTCCCCTGCTGACCCAGGGTGAGAACTTCAGTACATAACACTCCTCCCCACTGAGATAAGGCGTTAGTTACAATCGTAATGGTTTGCTTATATACAGCACTACACGTAATGGTTCAATAAGGCACAAAAGCATATCAGTTACATTTCACATACTTAGACCAACAGTGATACATGTCCAACAACATAGTCCTTTAAATAAGTTGGGCACTTGGAAATTCGGCCAGACCGCCGGGGACTGGTAGCCAAGTCCGGGGGGACCACCCAATTCTTGCTAAGGCTGTGCTGCGACCCTAGGTGGCGTTGAAACCAAGTCCCCTGGATCCGCTGCTGTGGGTGCAACCTCCGCAAGTGGAGTTGGCAGAATGTCAGGCATGGCAGTGGTCTGAGTCTGTGGTAAGTCTGGCAGAACCTCTGAAGTGGCTTGGTTTGGCTCCACACCGGCAGTTTGCGAGAGAGGTGTAGGTGGAGCCTCACCATCTGTAAGTGTCTGTTCTGGAGCCACGAACGCAGTTGGGAGCACCACAGTAGTGTCCAAGTCCCCAACCCTGCGCCTAAGCTGGTCTATGTGCCAGCGCCACAAGCGTCCATCTTCGAGTGCCACCTGTTACGAGGGAGGTCCAGTGACTCCCACTACTGTGGCTGGCACCCAAGGAATGTCCCCCACATAGTTCCGGGCAAAGACCTGGTTTCCTGGAACAAATGACCGTGGCGCATTGGCACAGCCTGGGGGTTCGGCCACGGCAAAGTCTGGGTGCAGCCAGTTGAGCAGGGACCTGAGGCGGCTGCCCATAAGCAGTTCGGCAGGACTCCACCCTGTGGCCCCATGAGGGGTGATGTGTTATATGAACAAGTATTCGGCGACCCGCTCGTGCCAGTCTCCCCGGTCCAGGTGCACATGTGCCTCTTTTGCCGAGCGCACCATTCTCTCTGCTTGCCTGTTGCTAGATGGATGAAATGGTGCCGTTAGGGCATGGCAGATGCCCAGTCCCAAAAGATACTGCTCAAAAGTGCCTGACGTGAACTGTGGTCCGTTGTCGGAGACAAGGACATCAGGACACCTGTGTGTCGCAAAGAGGCCTTGCAGCACCCGGATGACGGCCTCGGTAGTGGTGGAGGGCATCAGGGCCACCTCCAGCCATTTGGAATAGGTGTCCACCACTACCATAAAGGTCCAGCCGTGAAAGGGTCCGGCCAGATCGATGTGCACCCTCGACCAGGGTGTCTTGGGCGTCTCCCAGGTGTGTCCCTTAGCTGCCGGTGGTGCAGGCCTTGATTCATGGCACGCTTGACAGGCGGAAACCCAGGCAGTGATGGCATCATCCATGTTAGGCCACCAGACATAACACCGAGCCAACGCCTTCATTTTGACGATTCCCGGGTGGCCAACGTGCAGAGCCTCCAGGACACATTGACGGAGTCTTTGGGGAATCACAACGCGGTCTCCCCACAGCAGACAGCCGCGATGAGCCTAGAGTTCGTGTTGTCTGGTTGCGAAGGGCTGGAACTCTGATGCAAAAGGCCCTTGTGGCCACCCCCTCCACACCCAGTTGAGCACATGACTGATGGTGCGATCCTGGGCAGATGCGAAGGCCACAGTGGCAGCCAATTCAGGCGCTGCCGGAAGATCCTCAGTCAGGAGGAGCCGGGTCTTCCACAAACGCTGGAAGAGGGCAATGGCTGAGGGCATCGGCATGGCCCATCGATTTCCCCGGGAGATGGACGAGCCGGTAGTGGTAGGCAGCCAGGAAAACAGTCCATCACAGCATGCGCGGCGAGAGGACCGGTGGAGTTGGTCGATCACTGGCGAGGAGGCCCAGGAGCGGCTTGTGGTCGGTGATAAGGTCGAAAGTCCTGCCGTAGAGGTATTCATGGAACCTCTTCACTCCAGCCACAAGTGCCAGTGCCTCCTTGTCGAGCTGGCTGTAATTCAGTTCTGTTGGAGATAGCGTCCTGGAAAAGTAGGCGAGCGGTGCTTCTCTTCTCTTCTCTGGAAAACGGTGACTAAGGACAGTGCCAATGTCAGAAGGTGAGGCGTCGCGGACAAGGACCAGCGGCCTGGCTTCACTGTACTGTACCAGCACACTGTCCGATGAAAGGAGAGCCTTGACCGCATTGAAGGCGGCCGTCTCCCAATGACCCCAGGACCAAGGTGTCTTCGTGCTGAGGAGTCGGTGAAGAGGCTCAGCCACCGTGGCTTTGTGGGGCAGGAACATGTTATAAAAGTTCAGCAGTCCCAGGAACGCCTGCAACTCCGTCTTGTTCTTTGGGATGGGGGCCTGCTGGATAGCGCGGATCTTGGATGTGGTCGGGTGAAGGCCGGAGGCGTCAATAAGATAGCCCAGGAACTCCACCTGCGGAACGGCGATCTGGCACTTCTCCCTCTTTACCTTGAGCCCGGCCTCCTGGAACCTGGTCAGCACGGCGCAGAGGCGCTCGAACAACTGCTGGTGTGAGTCTGAGGACACCAAGACGTCATCAAAATACGGTACCACGCCCAGAAGCCCTTGCAGGAGACGCTCCATAAGGCTTTGGAAGATGCCAGGAGCCACACTCACCCCGAACTGCAAATGGCAGCAATGGAATGCCCCTTGGTGGATGACGATCGTCTGGGCTTCAGCAGTGGCATCATCGACGGGCAGTTGTTGACAGGCTTGGGAAAGGTCCAGCTTAACAAAGACCTTACCCTCACCCAAGGAATGCAGCAGGTGTTGAACAACAGGAACCGGGTAAGCGTGCTGCTGAAGTGCCTTGTTGATCGTGCACTTGTAGTCAGCGCAGATTCTCGCCGACCCGTCTGGCTTGACAGGCATGACGATGGGGGTTTCCCACTTGGCGTGGTCAATCGGCTCCAAAACTCCTTGGGCGATCAGCTTGTCCAGTTGTTCGTCCACCTTAGCCTTGAGAGCAAAGGGAACCCGGCGTGGCTTTAGCTTGATGGGGGCGACTTGTGGATCAAGGCTAAAGGAGATGGGCGTACCTGTATATTGCCCCAAAGTGCCGTCAAAAACCTCGGCAAAGTCTTTGACCAGACCCTCAGTCTCTGCGTTAGAGATGCAGTTGATGCCGGTGACTTCCAGGCCGAGGGCATCAAACCAGTCTAGCCCTAAGAGGCTTGGCCACTGACCTTCGACCACCACCAGTCGGAGCAGGCCCGAAAAATCCTTGAAGGCGATCCGGAACCGGCCAACGCCTACCACGGGAATGTCGTTTCCCTGGTAGTCTCTCAGGTGTATGTGGTGAGAGTCGAGTTGCCTTTTGGACACTCTGGGTACCAGTCTTTTGATGGTGCTCCAAGACACGATAGACAGGGCAGACCCGGTGTCGAGCTCCATGTCACATGGAGCTCCTTCAATGAGTACTGTGACGTTCAGCTTGCGTCGCGTAGGCGAGTCGGTTTGGCCAATCGTGGTTCCAGATGGGCAGCAGCAGTTGGTGAGAGCGAAACAGCTTTCCTTGGTGGACTGTAGTGAAGACTTGGACTTGCGAGTCGGTGAAGGGGGGGTGTCAGACAAAGCCGATCGGCAGACCTTAGTGATGTGGCCCCTTCTGGATCACATCCGACAGATGGCATCTCTGAATCGACACTTGGCACGGGACTTCCGGAGGTGGCGCCAACGGCAGTGGCGGAATCCCTCTAACCCAGAGGGAGATCGCTCCACAGAAATCGGGTCTAAAACCGCTTCGGCGCAGCGGGGACCCTTCAAACCACAGGCGGGTGAAGCCTGTGACCCTGGGACTCGGCGGGCACTGTTTGCGCCCCCGGTCTGCAAAGGAACCCGGCAGCGGGCTCCGGAACAGAGCGGGAAGTGAAGGCGCTGTGCTGTGAGTCGTCTGCTTCTTTGTGGAGTGAAGCCGCGTAGCTGTTGCCGGAGAGCGCTGCCTTTTTCCTGGACAATTCGGACTTTTAAACAAATATCCGTGAGTACCCAGAATTTGGACAAATTGGGATACTAAAGGAAGATTAGTGAAAAGGGCAGAATTGGACTATAAAAAAAAAAAGAAAGAAAAATTGATTGAATTTGGTACGGAGCGGTAAGGGCTAAACAGGAAGTCACCCTTCCGTTCTTTTGTAAACATAACAAAGCAAAGTCAAATTGTACTAGAGCTTTGAAAATTGCTTTTAAAAGAGTGGAATCCAACATTTTAAATTGGGAATATTTTTTTTGGACTATTTGAAGCAGTAAAAGGAAGTTATTTTCGTCCTGATCCTGGAGCGGGGAAGTCAGGACTGACGTGAACAAATCAAGGTATCTGTGTGTGTCAGATGGTTAAAAGAAGAAAATTTTTGTGACTCTATTGTTCCCTTTCGCACTTTAAACGAATATATAAGGATAAAGGATTTTAAGTAACATGGAAATGTATCAGAAACAAATATAAGTCTTCCCCTTAGGGGGAGCTTTAGAAACTGTAACTAAATGCCAAGGACTTGACAGTTGTTACAAAGAACCGTGGGAGAGTGCAACAATGTTTTCAGAAGCTGTGGTTTGCCTGCTCAAAGAAACAAATATTCTACTGGAAGAACTACATGATAAGGTGAACCAGATGGCCAAGTCGACTGGAAATCTCGGACTGGCAGTGGAAGGCGTTGATCAAACTGTGGGAATAGATGTGGAGTCTATCCAGGATTCAAACCAGGAGTGTGTTTTGACAGAACAGGGGTTTGTGGCATTAAATCAGGAGTGTGGCTTGACAGAACAGTCTCAACAGGAGCTTGATCCTTCGGACTTGATAATGGAATTTGGGAAAAATCAGATATGGGAAGGGAAGTTCGGGGTGGTTTGGAAATGGGGGGGCTGGATTGACCCCCCTATGTTGGGATATTTGGACTTTTTAAATTCAGTAACAGGCTGCGACATGTTTGGAAATGTGGGGGTCCACAAATTTGGGGGGCCCTTGAAGTATGCTCTTAAATACTATATGGAATGCAGCGATGAACAGGGAAAAGGATCTGATCTGATGAGAAGGGTTAAAAGCACTATTAAGTTGGAGCCACTACGAGCAAGTGACTACAGCCACAAATATGAAGAAAAGTTGCGGAAGGGCCATGGAAGTGACTTGAGGGCCTCGGACATAAGGTCACCGGGTTAGTTTGATGAATAAGGACTGACAAATCCCGAAACCGGGAGGAAGGGACGTTGGATCAAGATTGGACTTGATTATATGCCTCTTTCTCTTTTTTGTTTTTTCTTGTGTCTTTTTTAATTAATAGAATATTTAATAAAGCTGATGAATGATAGAATGAGAGAAAAATGAATGATAGGAAAATGTTGGAAGAATTTATCTGGCTTTAGCAAAAATGTATAAAGAATTATGTAAGAACATTATGAATATAAGAAGTGGGTAAAGTCAAGATCTAAATTTTAAATTTTAAAGTTTATTTTATAATAGAAGGAAAGGATTTGTGAAAGAATATTATGAATATAAGAAGTTGGTATAATTAAGATTTAAATTTTAAATTGTAAGGTCTATTATATAATAGAAAAATGGAAAGGATTTGCTGGGATAATTAATAACTAGAATACAAAGGAAGGGAGGAGGAGGAGGTCTAATGTTTTTCTTCTTTATTATTATTTTTCTTCTGTATTTCTTACTTTTTCATATTTTTATTTTTTTTACTTTTGTATCTTTTTCATATTGTGTGTAAGTTTTTGTATTTCTTATTTTTTGTTTTTGTGTAATTTTTGTATTTTTTCTGTTTTCTTTTGAAATCTCAATAAATATTATTAAAAAAAAATAAAAATGAATCGACACTTGGCACGGGAATGGTTGCCTCCGCAGCCGGCACATTCCAATTGGCCCTTGGACTTCTGTTGGAACTTCCTGCGCTCCCGCTTTGTCTGGTGCACGTCATCGTCTTCACTGGAGGATGCCTCATCACTGCTGGCCTCTTCGTGATGCACTGGAACTGGCTTCCTAGCAAGATGCAGGCTGCTGGCCTTGCGGATCTCCTGGGTGGAGTGTTCAGCAGCTTCCGAGGCCACAGCCTCCTCAATGGCTTTCTGCAGTGTGATGTCTGGCTTGGCGAGGAGACGCCGTTGCAGATGGATGTCCTGGACCCCGCAGACGATTCGATCCATCAGAGCATCGTCTAAGTCTCAGAACTCGCAGTGCATTGCAGCCTGTCAGAGGGCGGTGGTGTAGTTGTTGATTGGCTCCCCCTCTGCCTGGTTCCGGTGGTAGAACGCATGGCAGGCAGCAATCTTGGACGGCTTTGGCGCGTAGTGGTTGCGGAGTTCTCTTGGATCGTGTCCCATGGTGTTGCCTGGACTGCTTCAGGCGCAACCAAGGCTCGGGCCATCTCAAACACCTCAGGCCCACAGAGGCTGAGGAATAGGCCCCGCTTCCGTTCCTTTGATACTTCTGTCAGCTCGTTGGCTGGGAGGTAGCAGTCAAACCGAGCGAGGTAGGAGTCCCATGATTCAGAGGCTGGCGCAAACGGCGGTAGAGACCCAAGTGAAGCCATGATTCCGATGCTGGCGTGAAGGGCGATGGATGGAACACAGTGCTCTAGCCAGAACAGTCAGCTCTGAATTGGTTCTGTTCAGTGATTTCGCTCAGTGATTCAGCTCAGTTCAGAGGGTGGCCACATCTGGCTGTGCTCTGATGTCCATTGATCCCATCCTCGTCACCAGTGTTAAGTTGTGGGTGAACATATCAGACGACACAGCGATTCTTCAAACAGCTCTTGTTTATTCAGAGGCCAGAACAGAACTGAGCTGAAGAGCTCAGTCAGCCTGCTTATATAGAGCTCCAGAACAACGTAACTGTAGCAACTTTCTAAAACTATCCAATCACTGAACGTCACTTTCGATCCTTCATTTGCATAGCTATCTACAGTATCCCCCTGCTGGCCCAGGGTGAGAACTTCAGTACATAACAGAGGTACCACTGTATTTTATTTTATTTTATTTTAGAAAAGAAAACACTGGCTGGAAGGGATTCCTTTCTCTCTGTTTCAGATAGCCCTTAATTTACTTTGCAAAATGTTCCCTCTGCAGTTTTTGACAAGGGTGGGACATGAGTACCCTCCTTGTGAGAAGCAGATTACAAAGACTGCGTAGCAGACCTAAATACAGACTAGTGTTAAGAACAGGAATGTCTGTTCACTATATCAAATTTGCAGGGTGCTGTTAATCTCCCAGAGAACAGCCCTGCTTCGAGTGCAGCCTTTTATCTAAACCAACAGTAATGCAACTCATGCTCCTCTGCTCATTGGTCTTTACATGGGTGGGGGGGGGGAGAGATAAACAGAAAGGGAGAAAGGAGGAGGAGGAGGAGATATAAGAAAGTGGACGCGGCGCCTCCCGGCATCAGCTCATCGCCCTCGCCTGCCTCCACCATGCCGCGCTGAAGCAGCGTCGCACCCAGAGCCTCCATCTGCCATGGCCACGGTGGCACAAAGCAGCCAGCTGAGCCGGGAGGCGCCGCGTCCAGCTTCCGCCTCTTCCCCACTGGAGGAGCTGCCCTCCAGCCGCTGCCCGCCTCCTCCAGCCCCGCCGGCAGCGCCATCCTCCCTAAAAAAAGGTTGACCACTCTGGGAAACGGGGGGGGGGGGGGGAGGGTTGCCGGAGGGATGGCCCTGGAGCTCCTAACAGGTCCAGATGAACTGACCAGTTAGTTAAGCTTTCACTAGAGGAATATGTAGAAAACCTCTTGCTTGGGATAAAGCATCTCCAGCCGCATTTCTTATGGAAACAACCAGGGCTTTATCTTATAAAAGGTAAAGAATTCAAAAGCTTGCTAACAATTTTGTGACATTTTAGTTGGGCAAATAAAGGCCTTGCTTGCTCTAATGTGGATTTTGGAAATTTTCTTGTTGATTTTGCTTTTTGATAATAAATTTATCCTTAGCATTTAATGTGCCACAGGAAAGTAAATTTTGCTGCAAAATACTAACACGCTACCAGCTCTGAAAGTTGTCACAAACTACCTTGTTATTTGGCTTGTTGAGAATGTCTTTTTCTTTTTAAGGAGAATTCCAAAACTATGTTTCCGCCCAGCTTATTTATATCAGCATACTTTGTAACGAAGGTTTGCATTCAATTTAAACATATTGGCAGACCGCCTTGCAAAAAGATGAAAATTAGGCAGAAAAGAATAACAACTGTTTAAAACTGGAAGCAGTGCTTTTTTTCTGGGGGGATGCAGGGGTACGCATACCCCAGTGCCGGATTTACATATAAGCTAAGCAAGCTATAGCTTAGGACCCCACTCTCTTGGGGGGGGGGGAATTAAAGGGGGAAAAACTGGATGTACATTTCCAAAATATAAGATAAAAAACAAATACAATAAAATAAAATAAAACCTACATACAGCAACAGTCTTTACATTGGCGGGGGGGGGGGGGGGAGATAAACAGAAAGGGAGAAAGGAGGAGGAGGAGGAGGAGGAGATATAAGAAAGTGACTTTTCTGCCAAGGATGAATGAAACAGAAGCAGCTGTTGCTGTTTTTCAGAAACTTCCAGCGAGATGCCCTTACCAAGCAGCTCTTCCAGGACCCAACGGCACAAACTGATATTGGCAGGGACCATGGTTGTTTTAGTTGTCTTAGTGAGCGCTGTGTTGCTTGCTGTGCTCATACCTGGAAGGAAAGGAACCCCTGGCTCAGAAGTATTGCAGTGGAAAGGCCAAGGGACCACTAAACAGCTGCAGGAACTCGTCTTGGGGAGATGTTACAACTACATTGCATGTAGCGATGTTACAGTGAATCCTGAGCTCAGGTGAGTGCTAAGAATACACTTTTGAAGAATAAAAGCAGGAGTGCACAGTGTAGACAAAGAAGGAGCAGTAGGGAAATTGGACCGCAGCTATTCTAGAGAAAAATGTATAGACTGAGATTTGAAGCTGTTCTTACTCTCCATTTCCCCCCCAAAGTGCTAAAAAGCTGGATTGAAAACTAGCTGAACAGTCCCTGCATTGGAATTGTTCAGGGCTTTTATATCTCTCTTATATGCATGATAATAAGCATGCAATGATGCAGGAAAGTTCCACCTTTTGAATTCTGGCCTGTTAAACAGCTGCTAAAAGTGTAAGAATAGCACAAGCAAGGATGGTATTTAGAAGTGGGTATTTTAAATGAAAGCAGGGGAGGGTTTCCTGTATGTATGAGTAAGTAGATTGGACGGGTTAGAAATGTATTTTTTTTTAGCAATACTTACAGTGTTCACAGTTTTTGAAGTGCTTAATGTACATCAGCTCAGAAATCCATACAATAGCATTGTGAGGTAGGTTAATGTTACTGGAGATGGCGTGTCTAAAGAATACTGACTTGATCAAAGCCATTTAGTGATGTTACGACAGAAATGACATTTTAACTCGGGGGCTTCTTGTTCCTGGTTCGAGGCTCCCAGTACAGTTCTACCCATATTTCTTCAGAACTTCATCCAACTTCATTTAGTTGAAATAGCTGCCAGGTAAGTATGAACCGAATTATGGCCTGGTAGTACGAGTCTATGTGTGGTTTACTCAGAAACACGGGCTACTAAATTCAATGAAATCAGTACATTGGGTTTAGGGCTGCAGTCTTTGACTTTCAAATAAGGGCCAGGGGGAAAGTGTTGAAATCACCAAATACATGAGAAAAGAAGTGGTTGATTGGGACTCAAATCACAATATTTTCATTATCTTACTAGCTTTGGTGCTCAGAGGCATGTTGTAAAAACTTGTCAACAGAAGAACTTATTGAACCTTATCAGTACAGTATCTTGTAATAGCATTTGTTGAACCTTATCACAATGTTGCAATGAGGAAATAATACTGTCTCTGACTAGAGGGAGAGGTTGGTGAGAAGCAGACTTTGGCCATATGAGGAACGTTTGGCATCTGCTACCGAAAGACCTGTTCGAGATATTCACCAGAAGGCTCACTTTTCATCTGCTCAGCCTTTATCTGGGTAAATGGTGGGAGCCAGGCAGAGGGCCTTCTCGGTAGTGGCGCCCACCTTGTGGAACGCTCTCCCATCAGATGTCAAGAAAATAAACAACTACCTGACTTTTAGAATACATCTGAAAGCAGCCCTGTTTAGGGAAGTTTTTAATGTTTGATCTTTTATCGTGTTTTTAATATTCTGTTGGGAGCTGCCCATAGTAGCTGGGGAAACCAGTTAATTTCTGAGCCCAGTTCAAAGTGCTGGGCTTTGCCCTATAAAGCCTTAAATGGCTCAGGACCACAAAACCTCAAGGGCCTCCTTTCCCTGGCCCAGACCTTGCAATAATCATTTGTTGATTCCCCCCCCCCCCCTGAATTTAATCATGAATTAAGATAATGAAAAATGGCACAGAATAGCTGATGGGAAAGTCTTTGGGAAGGCACACTTGAGAACTGCATTTTGACCACCCCCACTGTTGCACTTTAGCCTCCAGAGGGTGCACTATGGGTCGATGCAGCCCCCGCCCAAATTAGGTTAGCCCTCAAGTGCCCAAGGGAGAGGAGAGAGCACAGAAGCCAAGACTCCTGCTGGTAACAACTGGACCTTCCCTTTTCTCTTTCTGGCTGAAGACGGCTCATTTGAAATTACAGTAATTTTGTGCAAACATGGAAAACAAAGAGAAACATTACAAAAAACTACAGTATAAGGCCCTTCCCTCAAACATCTGTGATGTGAAAAACATATTGCCACAGGCACTTTAGTAAGAGCCCGGCATAATGTTGTAGCCATCTCTCCATATGAAAGGAAACAGACCCACAATTTTAAACCAAACAAATTTTAAACAAAACCTTTTTTGTTTAAAGGTGCCAGTGTGGTGTAGTGGTTAAGAGTGGTAGTCTCGTAATCTGGGGAACCGGGTTTGCGTCTCCGCTCCTCCACATGCAGCTGCTGGGTGACCTTGGGCCAGTCACACTTCTTTGAAGTCTCTCAGCCTCACTCACCTCACAGAGTGTTTGCTGTGGGGAGGAAGGAAAGGAGAATGTTAGCTGCTTTGAGACTCCTTAAAGGGAGTGAAAGGTGGGATATCAAATCCAAACTCTTCTTCTTCTTCTTCTTCTTCTTCTTTTTCTACCTGCTTTCCTACATGCTCCTCTCCCAGTTAATCCTGCGTTAGGCTAGACAGAGAGGCTGTATACACAGTACAGGTTTAAAATGCAGAGAGGTTGTCCCACCGCCCTCCACTACACTTCATGTCGTATTTGCATGTCGTCGTACACATTGGTGTGGTAAGATTTGTTTCCAAGTTGCAACCAGCAAGGAGGTCTGGGTAACCACTGTTACCTTTTTCAGTGGGGTTCTTCCATGAAGATAACCACACCTTTCAGCATCTGTGCTCCTGAACCTCAAATTTTGGGATTGTTGATTGTTTTCGTTTTGTATATATTTGAGCTTGATTCAAATTGGGTCTAGACCCATTTTTTAAAAAGCAATGTGGACTAAAATCACTTTTGGAGCCTCTTTGGGATTAGGGGCCCTGGAGCTTAAGCTTCATAAGTTTCATAGTAGGTCTGTCCCTGGCCATGTTACCCCCAGAGGTTCAGTTTTGACTTGTACTGCATCAAAATCTTCCCCTGCAAAAGAGGCTTCCATTTTCCTCCTCCTATCTCAGAGCACTTTAGTGTATTTTCAGTGGGTGTGTAGTTTTGCTTTTACCTTTTCATTGTCAGGTGGCTGAGGAGGGGGGGTATTTGTGTTTCCCAGCAAACATTTCTTCTGTACTTCCGTCTCTCTCTGGCTGCTTGCATTTCCTTATCTGGAAAAGCTTCATGGGAGAGAATAACTCATGATGTCTTTCCTGAAGGTTCAACTGAAATGTGGAAAGATGGGAGAAATTATTTTGTAAAATTAGTGCAAAGACATCCACAAATGGCCCTTGGCCACCTCAAAAGTAAGGTATTCACAGCAAAACCCCTACACCCCACCCCCCATGAGAATTTCACCAAAATGTTCTTCTCCTTTTGATAATGATCAAATGCAATTTCTGTTCTTATTAATTGATGGAGGATACTTTGCGGTGGGGGAGAGAACACGGTGCTAGTTTTAACTATGCTGCTACAAATGTTGCATTCGGTCTCTCTCTCTCTCTTCCTCTCTCTTCCACATGGTGCCTGTATATATACACTGATATACACTGAGCTCACCCCATGGCGGGGATTCGAACCGCCGACCTTCTGATCGGCAAGTCCTAGGCTCTGTGGTTTAACCCACAGCGCCACCCAAGGGGGCAAAGCCTACTTTTGGCCAAACCCATCACTGGTATGGAGGGTTCGTCAAGGGTGAATATGAGCCTTGGGTCAAAATAGGTAAGCCTGTAACTTACCTGGTTAGACACCCCCATCAAATATTATACAGGTGGTGTGGATTCTCTACAGCAGAGGTTCTCAGACCATAAGGAAGTGCTCCTTCATTATGGAGTCTGCAGGGTACACTCCCAGTATGTTTTCACAGAAGCCAGGTCTAGTATTTTGAGGGCAAGAGCGTTTCTCATTGACCCCAAGGAGCATCTGTTGCTGCCCACCTTTTCACAATGATGGCATGTCTCCGCTTGGTATGTTGCCCCACAGCAAGCAAATGTGCCCTGTTCTGTCTCTGTTGGTACAGTGTATGTTTCTCACTCTTGCTCTGAATATCAAGGTAAAGGGACCCCTGACCATTAGGTCCAGCCGTGGCCTATCTACTTGCACTTTGACGTGCTTTTGAACTGCTAGGTTGGCAGGAGCAGGGACCGAGCAGCGGGAGCTCACTCCGTCACAGGGATTCAAACCGCCGACCTTCTGATCGGCAAGTCCTAGGCTCTGTGGTTTAACCCAGTGCTCCCCAACCTTTTTTTCACCGCGGACTGGTAAATGTTTGATAATTTTTCCGTGGCCCGCTTGTTTTGATTTAATAATTTTAATTTAATTGTATTTAAACATGCCTTCAAAATAAAATACAGCTACACCAAAAAATGAATATAAAGTGATTTATTTTATTTAACTCACTAGAATGCCAAATCAATGAGAACCCTGAGCTTGTTTCTTTGCAACGAGACGGTTCCATCTGGGGGTAATAGGAAACAATGACACCCGAAGTGTGTTGCTTATGTCCAGTTTATTCCGTTGTTTTGTTTTGGTTGCTGTCACTGCAGAAAACCCCGCTTCCCACAGATAGGTTGTCGGAAATGGCAATAGGGATTTAAGCGCTGTGGTGGCAATCTCAGGGTATTCCGCCATGACTTTAAACCAGAACATCGGCAGAGTTGTTGTCTTGAACGTAGTTTTAAGGCCACCGTCATTTGCAATCTCCAGCAGTTCTTCTTCTTCTTCTTGCATAGACATGCTAGATTCGCCTGATTTGTTGGCAAATGGGTCGCAGATCCATTCCTTACCAGTTCGTGGGTCTTTTGTGGTTGGGAAGTAGCGCTCAAACTCTTTTAAAAGCAAAGACAGGTGATCGTGCACCAACTGGCAGAATGAATGTTCAAGCTCAGTCTCGCCTACAATCCCTGCTAATGTCTGAAACATGTCCAAAATGCCTCTGTTCACACGCCGTCCCCACAACTCCAGTTTGGCTTTAAATGCAGCTACTTTGTCTGACAACTTGAAAACAGTTGTCATTTTCCCCTGAAGGCCCAGATTGAGTTCATTGAGCAGGCTGAATATGTCACACAGGTAAGCCAGTTTTGCGACCCATACCTTGTCCCTGAAATGTGCTGCCAGCGGTGACTTCTTTTCTGAGAGAAATCTTTGCAATGGCTCTCATAATTCAAATACTCTGGTTAGCGATTTTCCTCTGGATAACCATCTTATTTCTGTGTATAAGAGAAGGCATCTGTACTCTGCGTCCATCTCCTCACAAAGCTGCTCAAACAGGTGCGAGTTAAGTGCGTGTGCTTTGATGTGGTTAATAACTTTAACGACATCCATCAATACGCTGTTAAATTCCGGTGACATTTTTCGGCTTGCCAGCATTTCCCTGTGAATGAGACAATGCGTAGATTCACTCTCAGGTGCAACCTCCTTAATCCGAGCAGTTAAACCAGACAGTCGTCCGGTCATGGCAGCAGCTCCGTCTGTGCATATGCTGACACAAAAGGACCATTTCAGTTTTTCTGATATATAACCATCCAGTGACTTGAACAGTTCTGCTCCTGTGGTGTTGGTTGGCAAAGATAGTGCACATAACAAATCCTCATGCACATCCTCCTGATATAGATATCGCACATAAACAAGTAGTAGTGCCTTGTTGTCGATATCTGTAGATTCAGTCAACCTGGAGTGCATACCACGGTGATGTATTAATCCCCTCCAACAATTGTGCCTCAATGTCTTCGGCTATTTCCTCAATGCGCCTAGTCACAGTGCTAGCTGACAAAGGCACATGTGCTATCTTTTCCCCGCCCCCCCTCCGTGCACTTATGCCTGAACCCGCACAAACACATTCGACCCAGGAGTTGTTGACCTAAATAAGTGCAATAGGCCTGGGTGGATGAGAGGGCATTCTAATAAAACCATTGCTGCTCCTCTTTCCGTTTGATAGTGCTGAGTCCCCCCCTCTGTGCACTTACCTCACGGCAGCTTCTCTTCAGTCCCCGCGTCTCCGACCTCGAGTCCTCAGTCCTCCCGTGGCGCCTCCTCCTCGGCCAATGGCGTGAGGTTTGCCTTTCGGCCAATCAGGAAGCAGGAGGACCCGCTCCCTGATTGGCCAGGAGGAGCATCAGTGTAACAATAGCGAATTTTCATTCGCTATTGTCACACAATGGGCGGGCTTGAGAGGGCGCAATGCTCTGCGCCTCGGCCGCCCGCCACAGTGAAATGATTTGAAGTTCCTCGGGCGGCCCGGTGCCGATTGATCCACAGACCGGCACTGGTCCGCGGCCCGGGGGTTGGGGAACACTGGTTTAACCCACAGCGCCACCTGCATCCCAGCCTCCAGATAAAGCAGCATTAATTTCAATGTAACTTCCATCTCCACAGTTGAAAGAGAAATTAATGAGACTCAAGAATGTTGGTAGCTTACTGTTATGCTCATAGTTTACTACGACTACTGCTTGTAGTCGAAGTAATCCTCTTAATCAGAAGTACATTTCTTGGGCTGTTCAGGAGAGGGAAAGGCAGGTTGTCAGACTTCCATTATGCTTAGGAATTAGGAGTGCTTTCTCACTATCCAAATACTATTTTGTATAATTCACATTTAATAGTGTCAGGCTGAACAGCAGCCATTCTCAAAGACCTCTGTGTTTGTTTGTTTGTTTGTTTGTTTGTTCTACAGAGACAAAGACTGTCTCAAAATTTGGGAGCTATTTCAAAATGCCTTTATGTACAAGCATCCATGCAATGCGACAGAGGAAGATTTCCAGCCTTTGATGGCCCTGGCCACACAATCCATCCTATGTAACAAGGTAGTTATTTTGTGCTTGTTAATTTCAAAGAAAATTATTAAAGAATATTTTGAATTAAAATGTAATCATGATGTTGACTTAACAACTGTTTGGGATGCAAGTAAGGCAGTTTTAAGAGGTGATTTTATTCAGAAATGTGCATACCAGAGGAAAGTAAGGGAATGTAAGAAATTGGAAATATCTGACAAATTAATAAAGAAAGAGAAAGAATTGGTTACAGACGCAGGAAATAAAGAGAAACTTCAAAAGATTAATTTCTTACAGATACAATATTCAATGCTTGTAAACCAATAAATAGAAAGGAAAATTAAGTTTGTAAAACAAAGGAATTTTGAATTTGCAAATAAACCAGGAAAGTTACTGGCATGGCAACTTTTAAAAGAGAGTAGACAAAGATTAATTAATGAGCTGATGAAGGATGGAGTACACATAAACAATCCAAAAGAAATCAGACAGGAATTTGTGAGGTTTTACATAGATGTGTTGGGATGCGGGTGGCGCTGTGGGTTAAACCACAGAGCCTAGGACTTGCCGATCAGAAGGTTGGCGGTTCGAATCCCCATGACGGGGTGAGCTCCCGTTGCTCGGTCCCTGCTCCTGCCAACCTAGCAGTTCAAAAGCACGTCAAAGTGCAAGTAGATAAATAGGTACCGCTCCGGCGGGAAAGCAAACGGCGTTTCTGTGCGCTGCTCTGGTTCACCAGAAGCGGCTTAGTCATGCTGGCCACATGACCCAGAAGCTGTTAGCCAGCTCCCTCGGCCAATAAAGCGAGATGAGCACCGCAATCCCAGAGTTGGTCACGACTGGACCTAATGGTCAGGGGTCCCTTTACCTTTTACACAGATGTGTATAAAAGAGAGAAAGAAGACTTTAAACTTATAGACAATTATATAGAGCGAAGTAAATTAGGTAATATTTTGAGAGAAAGTGCAGAGCTATTAAATGTGCCAATCTCCACGATGGAAGTATATCAGGTGATAAGCCAGGGAAAATCTGGGAAAGCCCCAGGACCAGATGGGCTCCTGGTGGAGTACTACAAAAAGTTTCAGGATGAGTTAGGCCTATAACTAAAATTATGAACAAAGTGTTAGAAACAGGACAAGCACCAGAAACTTGGAAGGAGGCTTATATCACTTTGATACCCAAACAAGATAAAGACAGGACAAATCCCAAAAACTTCAAGGAATGACAGAAAGAGCTTTCTAAGTTTATTTGGCGGGGGGGGGGGGGAATCCAGGATAAAACATAAAATTATGATTGATACCAAAGAGCGAGGCGGTTTTGCTCTCCCTGACTTACAATTATGTTTATGTTGAAAGAATGGATTTTACTAAAGAATAGCCACTTATTAGATCTAGAAGAGCACAGGAAGGCCTGAAACTGGAAGGGGGAATTGGCAGAAATTAAGATACCCCCCTCTACATGTAAGCATAACTTTATAATGAGCAAAGGGGGGGAGGTCACAGGAGTTCGTGGAGCAAACATTGCACCAAAAACAAAACAGAACCTACCCATTCTTACTACCAAGACTTTTTGTTCTTATCTGTACAGATGCCCAAATATTTTCTGCCACTACTTCCGGGTCTCTTGCCCCGTAAGACAAAAAAACAAAAACAAAAAACCATCCAAAAGCTTTAAGCCCAAAGCTGAAAACTGTGGAGAGAAATGGAAAGAGGAGGGGGTATATTACTGTTATAGTTCAGGAAATGTGTCAGAGCTAGGAATTCAATATTGACACTTTACTTACAGTCGCTGTTTTGGACCAAGACAAAAGACCTTGTACACCGTTACACAAACACTAATCGTGATTTCCTCACATTGGAAGACACTTTACTAGGCTACATGGCAGATGGGCTCTCATGGTGTGGAGACCCCTCCAGCCCAGGTAAGAAGAGTGTTAAGTTGTGGGTGAACATATCAGATGACACAGTGATTCTTCCAAAGCAGCTCTTTATTTGTAAGCTGGAACAGAACTGAACTGAAGAGCTCAGTCAGCCTGTTTATATATAGAGCTCCAGAACAACGTAACTGTAGCAACTTTCTAAAACTATCCAATCACTGAATGTCACTTTCGATCCTTCATTTGCATAACTATCTACAGTATCCCCCTGCTGGCCCAGGATGAGAACTTCAGTACATAACAAAGAGTGTCCTATTCTCTACAACAAAAAAAAAAGAGAGAGAGTTAGGGTTCCCCCCCTTCTGGTATGGGGGAGGGTAGGAATTGTATCCTTTAAGAAGGTTTGAAGTAGAAAGGATATAATAATGTATTGTTAACAGTTTACATGGCCACTGGGCCAATCACCTCCTGGCAAATAGAAGAGGAAGAAATGGAGGCAGTGAGAGATTTTACTTTCTTGGGCTCCATGATCACTGCAGATGGTGACAGCAGTCACGAAATTAAAAGACGCCTGCTCCTTGGGAGAAAAGCAAAGACAAACCTAGACAGCATCTTAAAAAGCAGAGACATCACCTTGCCAACAAAGGTCCGTATAGTTAAAGCCATGGTTTTCCCAGTAGTGATGTATGGAAGTGAGAGCTGGACCATCAAGAAGGCTGATCGCCGAAGAATTGATGCTTTTGAATTATGGTGCTGGAGGAGAATCTTGAGAGTCCCATGGACTGCAAGAAGATCAAACCTCTCCATTCTGAAGGAAATCAGCCCTGAGTGCTCACTGGAAGGACAGATCATGAAGCTGAGGCTCCAATACTTTGGCTACCTCGTGAGAAGAGAAGACTCCCTGGAAAAGTCCCTGATGTTGGGAAAGATGGAGGGCAAAAGGAGAAGGGGATGACAGAGGTTTAGATGGTTGGACAGTGTTCTCGAAGCTACAAACATGAGTCTGACCAAACTGCGGGAGGCAGTGGAAGACAGGAGTGCCTGGCGTGCTCTGGTCCATGGGGTCATGAAGAGTCGGACACGACTAAACGACTAAACAACAACAACAGTTATCCAGTGATTGAAAGATGCAACTTCAGAATAAAAGAAAAGAAATCAAAGCAATGGAAATAAAGTACAATAGATGCTCTATATGGTGTGTAGACATCAAATTCACTCTCACCCTTACTTTCCAGTTGTAGCAGAGGCATTGTACTGTTATAAGAAAAAACTGCTCCTTTTCCTTTGTGGGGTCTCCAAGAGCCTGTAAAGAGTCCTTAAGTGGGTTTCCTGTCGGTAGGAGAAAATAGCAGAGGCCAACCAAGGAATATTGAGAAGCAAAGCAGCTAGTAAGCGTGTTCTTTATTAAACTGTTGCAACAGGGTGCTCACTACCACATGCAGGAGGGAGGAGGAACCCGGAACAATGGTGTGCAAACCCTTCTATAGACTTTTGAAATTGCCCACCCTGTAGCCCAAGACCAACCCCCAAAACATCAGACATGCTTCACAGGAGGCGGTCTCCAGCAGAAATCCTGTTTGCCAGGATACCTTATAATGGTCACTGATTGCTTTACCTGGGCAGCCTGGCCACTCTTTTGTGATGGTAAATACTTTTTGTTCCTGAATCCAGGTCACAGGGTCACCCTATTCATACACAAATACGCCCTTAAGACAGGATTTCTAAGGAAAAAGACAAAGGGAAGGCTTTCCCCATTTCCTCCCTCCTTGGGGAGAAATATATTGAGGTCAATTTGGGAGAGTCAAAACTATTTCAGACATGTGGTTTATATACTTACGTACCGGTATATGTTTGCCTTGTACATTTATGAACGTTTATTTTCTACTTGAGACCCTAAAATTCTTACTTTCCAGTTGTAGCAGAGGCATTGCATTAAAACTTAGTTCTTCTTCCCTCCCCTCTCATAGGGCACAATATATCAGTCTTGTATTTATGCTCAAACTGTATTTATTATAGGAGTCAACTACGAATCTTGCCCCGAATGGACTGAGTGTGAGAATAACCCTAGTTCAATGTACTGGAAAATGTCGTCCAAGATGGTATGTTCTATGCAACCCAGGTTAGCGATACTGAAATATATATTATGCTTCACTAATACACAATTGAATTAAAACCAATGGCTAATAAAATGAAATCGTATCCCTTAACCCAGCGATAGCCAAGTTGGTGCCGCCAAGATGCTGTTGAATCACAATTCTCTCGCCAGCCTCTGCCTGCACAGCAAATGGTCAGGGAAGATGGGAGTTGTAGTCCAACAAAATTTAGAAGGCACTCTATTGGCTCCCCCAATATGGTTGGGCATTTTGAAATTAACACCACTTGTAGAACCTTTTCTTCAGTCAGGCAAACTCATAAAATTGGTGACTGTTGAAAGGTCAAAACTGTAAGTGGGTACAAGGTATTGAGCAGGTTCTCTTGTTACATTAAACTATGTTTTCAAATATGTTTTAGTTTGCAGAAGCAGCCTGTGGTATAACTCAAGTGATGCTTAATGGGTCCATAGAAGCTGGAGCATTCAGAAACAACAGGTATTTTCCCACTTGACTGTAATGCCTGCCTATCCATGCCCAGGTCATTGTGATATGCCGCCCAAGGCCTGTGCATATCTTCCTGATGTTCCCAAAGTGAATTGATAGACAGGGTATTCTTGTGGATTAAGAAGGCAGCCATACTGCTTCCAGGTAGGTTGTTCTTACTCTTGATTGATGGAGAGGTAAATAAAGACTCATAATAAACAATCTAGCTTTACTGCTGTCAGTAAGAGTCAACTTAACATAGCTCATTGGCCTTATCCTGGCCTTTGACAATTTAGACATGTATTTTAAGGACTCGCCCTATGCTTGTGATTTTAAACTGTTTTTAACATTGTACTTTAAATTGTTGTGATCCACCCTAACACCTCAGAGTGAAGGATGGGTAATTAATCAAAATCATACATACATACATACATACATATTTATCTTCTGAAATTACTAGGCAATGGCAATGAATAACATCTATAAAGATGTTTACCTGATATGTTTTGTTGAGGCTGGTAAACATCTGAGCTCTTTTCTTATGCTCCTGCTCTTTCAGCATTTTTGGCAGTGTTGAAGTTGTTAACTTAAATCCGAATAAAGTCTCCAAGATGCAGATTTGGCTTATGCAGGACATTGATGGACCACAAAGGTATGTTTTGATAATGCAGAATATAATAACTCTCTATATCTAGGGTTCAGTTAGAAACAGACTACCACAACATGGCATATCCTTATCCAACAGACATGCTGGTTTCCCAAGAATAATTCCTTCTTTGTTAGCAGTACTGTTCTGCGTTCTCAGAAAAAGCTCAGTTTAGGCAGTCATTTTAAAGGTTTTTTTTGGGGGGGGGGGTTGGCTGCTGTTGTTAAATTAAGCCCTTTTAAAAATTATTTATCTGGTACTTTGATATGTAATCTATCCCACATATTAAGTGCATTAAAAAAACCATGCATATTTTCTTTTCTCACAATTTTTGGCACAGCCTTTGTCTTTTGGCTGGAGACAAATTTGATACTGAAAACTTCTATCAGTTTAATGTCATGAATTTCCATGAAGAACCCAGTGTGAAATGGGTGTTGTGTGACATCCTTAGGCTTCCTCACTCCCAGACCTACAATTTGAAGTGTTACCTGGGGAGACAGAAAGAGTACCTGTTCAAGTCTGCGGTGCACATCTACCCAAAGAGTTGAAAGGGGCACTGTGGGGTCTTCAATGAACTGAGGACAATGCTCATCTCTGTTCACAGTTTTGTCTGGTGTTTCAAAAACCCATCTCTTTTTTTCTGGGGGGGACGCAGAGGTACACATACCCCTAAACATTTTGTGAATCTAAATTTGGTCTCAGTGAGGGGCAGTATTTCAATATGAGTAGTAAAATGAGAATACCCCTAAACCTTTTTTTAAAGGAAAAAAAGCACTGCAAAAGCCTGTTCAGTAAGAGATGAACACGCACAAAAGAAGAGAAAGTTGGCTATCAGGAGAAATTACGCCTCTCTTGTCTCTCTAGAACTATTGTCTCTCTCTAATGTTTGCCTGTCTATCATGTACTGTACATACTCCGGAGAAGTTAATGGATTTGGTTGCAGTGCTGCCTCTTGCCAGTAGAGGACATCTGCATCACACAAATGGATTCTGTTTT